GTCACGGAAAACCTGATCGACGCGCCCCCGCTGTGGCGCAAGGCGAGCATATCAGACGCTAGTCGGATTATGCCGGTCTCGGCGGCGGTCATCGCGCGCGCCTTTTCAGCGGAGCCGTAAGACGTGACCAGGTCAGCCAAGAGCAGGCTTCGCTGGCACAGCGGCGTCGCGAAGCAGTGCGTCGACCACTTGGCGGCGGCACCCAAGATCTCATCCTGCTGTTCCTCACTGAGCCGCGCTCGCTTGCGTGCCTGGGGCGCCCCATGATGGCGCTGGCTCTCGAGCCTGACGAAATTGCCGCGCCCGCGGCAGTACCGTCCGTGATATTTCCACACCAGATCCTGAGACTGGCGCCTCGGTGCCGAACCAGCACAACGCGGCGCAGTAGACTTTGGGCCATCGCTCTGACGGAGAAAGATAGATGCGGCTACCCGATGAAGCTAGCACTCGCCATCAGAAGCACATATGGGCGAGCGCGGCGTCCGAACGGGAGGGCGGGGAGGATAATGAAGGAAGGGGTGCGGATGGACGGAGGAACGGAAAAGGAGGAGCCACGGGGGGGGGGGGAAGGGCGGGGCGGGATGGAGGGAGGGGACAAGGAACGAGAGAGAGAGCGAGAGGAATATCGGATGGAAAGGAAGGCAAAGGGTGGAAAAGAGAGAGAGAGAGAGAGGGAGAGAGGGATGCGAGGAGCTGCAGGATGGGAAATCAATCAGAACATGCTTGACCGGCGTCATCAAATCAATCGAATCACCATCCATACTTTGCAGGCGGGGATCGCTAGCGGCAGCCGCCCCCGCAGTGAGATCTTGGGCACTAGAGCTGAAGTCTGTCTCAATGAACGTGCTATCAGACAGTGCCCAAGTTGTCCTAGCAGCACTCACCACACAGACGGACCCGAAGGGTAATTGTGAGATCTCCTTGCTGCTCAACGTACCTGCGCACATACACGTTCAAGCCGTCGACCCATGTCTCAGAGGCCCGACCTGCACTCACATCCAGTCCCCCCGACACTCGCACTCACTCACACCTCATACTCATACTCATCCGCATTCAGACTCACTCACACCCAGACTCAAGCAAAATCGAACTCAATAGCACACAGACCCACGCCTAAAAGCTTAAGCTCATTCACAGTCACACTCAGGCGCGCACTC